CCCTTCCTTTCGCCGCGCCCTCAAGACTTGGTTATTCCAGCTTGCAGGACTGGCCTAGGGTAATTTTTAGAGGGGTTTTAATTAATATTTTAAATTGGACAATCTTTAAATATTTCTTTTAATTAATTTTAAACCTGTATTGTTATTTATGTATTTTAATTGATTGTCAGCCGCCCTGAGTCCTACGAGGAGAAGGGCGAGATATAAATCTAAATTATAAATAAATAAATAAATTAATTAATTAATTAATCTAATCTATGTTTTGCACAATGAACCCAAAGTTCAAGGTTCCTGATTTTTAAATGTCCCTAGACACACTCAAATGAAGTAATCATACTATTTACTTTGCATACAATTTAAAAATTTAATGATGAAAAAAATAAGGTTCCACATTTAGACAAGAAAAACCAAATGCACAGGTACAGTATAGGTGGTACCTTGCTCAGTAGTAGTAACTGTGAGAGGATCTTGAAGCCCTAGTGTACAATCACTTAAATATGAGCCAGCAGTGTGCTGCAGCTGCCAAAAACCCAACACAGTTCTAGACTGCATTAACAGAGGGATAGGATCAAGATCATGTGAAGTATTAATACCACTTTACAATGCCTTGGTCAGGCCACACTTGGAATACTGCATCCAGTTTTGGTCACCACGATGTAAAAAAGATGCTGAGACTCTAGAAAGAGTACAGAGAAGAGCAACAAAGATGATTAGGAGACTGGAGGCTAAAACATATAAGGAATTAGAATTGGGTATGATTAGCTTAATGAAGAGAAGGACGAGGGGTGACATGATAGCAGTGTTCCAATATCTCAGGGGTTGCCATAAAGAAGAGGGAAGAGACTGGACAACCATTTGTCTGAAATAGGGTTACCTGTTCGAGCAGAGGGTTGGACTAGAAGACCTCCAAGATCCCTTCCAACTCTGTCTATTCTATTCTATTCTATTCTATTCTATTCTATTCTATTCTATTCTATTCTATTCTATTCTAAATGCCTGATTACATATATTTAATAAATTTGTATTCAAAAATATGTGTATTAATATATGGCAAATATATTATAATAAATTAATTCATAATACTTATAAAGTACTTATGCTACTTTGTGGAGAAGAAATTCTCAACTGGCTTGGATTGTAAATGCATTCCCAAAGGAAATTACATAGAATGAAGATATATAAGTACAAAGCTCGTAGTAGAAATGATTTCATCTTTTAACTTAAAAAAGAACTCAAAAAAAAGAAAAGAAAAATTTCCTGTACATCATTTAAAAGATGCACCTATATTTGTATCTTTGAAACAAAATATATCAAGATTGAAATATGAGTGAGTTTCGTCCCTTTATATTTTCACATTTTAATGAGAATATTTTTCCCTAGAACCCATTAGAAAAAAAATTACTCTAAAATTACTATTCTACTTGAAATATTTTTCCAATCAATTCTCAGTTAGGTGGTTCTTTGTTTGTGTTATTTTAAGCTCCTTTGTATAGTTAGTTGTTTCAGATTTTGTGAAATTGTTACAAATTGCACCACTTGTCGTTTGGCTGGTGTGCTTCATCCTATTGATTAATATTCAGTATATTTTGTCTTCATTTGTATTTCATGTGCATGGAAAGGATAAATGAGAATATAAGATTTCTATCTAGGTAGATGCAAATATACTGTAGATTAAAAATATAGAAGTAAATATAGATACTCTTTAAAAGGTGCTAAAATGTATTTCTGCAGTTTTCCCAAGTTCTCTCAGCTTCCAAATGGTTTTTGAGAGGATTTGCTCAGATAGAAATATTAAAAATCATTTTTACTTAAGGCAAAATTCTTCAGTGACCTAAAGAAGCTCAAATCTACCTTGCTCTAAAGAATGCACATTATGTTCAAACTTTTTTTTTACTGTTTCTCTCCAAATCATGAAGTAGTTTGTCCAGATATGAATAGATGACCCACAAAAATGGTTATTATATTTCAAAATATTTTTTACAGCTTGGAAGAAAAAAACAAAAGCAATTACTTCCTTGTGAGAAAAAGATGCAGTTTTGAAAATGGAAATCAATATTAATTATGATACCATAAACTTTGGGGATGAACTGACTTTATTTCTACCTATTAAATGACATGACAACAGCATTCTACATTACTGGACAAACATCAAAAATCATTTTGGAAAATAATCTTCAGTAAGTGTTTTTATGACAATATCAATGATCCAAGTCTATTACATTAAAAATAAACTCATTCTGGTATTGTACAATTCTCTTAGAATTGTAATTCTTGTAAGAAGGTCAGGATTTGCATTTCTCCTGATTTATTATTTTATTTATGTTTTTAAATACTTTAATACTGTAAAGCCTAGATGTAAGGTGTTTCCCTAGTTGGCTGTTACTGAGATAATGGGCATATATTCTGGATTCTGAATTATTTGCAGCCTTTGAGTGATTTTTAAACCAAATAAAATATATTACACAGAAGATTATCCATCAATATTTGGAATGTTTCTAAAAAATATAGTTTCCCAGAATATATTAATTCCTTAATTAATTTTTGTCTCAATTAAACATACTAATAGGAGAATTGAAAACTGTGAAAAACCAATTAAAACACATATAAAAAAGAATCCAGTAAACTATCCCTTTGCTAATGTTAAGTGGTTTCATTCTATTTTGTTTTTTTCTTAAACAAACAAACAAAT